TAGCTCTCTGCCTTTACGGATGAGGAACTTTGACCCGGTAAATGACATAAAGAGGACTGAATCCCGACCCACGCCACAACATGGGTGACCCTTGGAAATGTTGTGCTAAGAGAAAGAAGCCAGCCACTAAGGACCACGTAGCATTTGATCCTGTTTATCTGAAATGTCCAGGATAGGCAAATCCGCAGAGACAGAAAGTAGATTAGTGGTGGTTGCTGGGGCTGTGTGTGTGTTTGGGGTGGGGGTGGGGGCGCGGGTACGGAAGGGAAGATAAGGACTTCAAAGCCAAGGAATATGGGATTCTTTCTGGGGAAAGGAGAAAGTTCTAAAATTGATTGTGGTGATGGTCGCATAACTCTGAACATACTGAAAGCCATCGGACTCTACACTGTACACTGTGAATGGGTGAATTCTATGGTATGTGAATTACAGTTCCTAAAAGCAGTTTATAAATTTTTTTTTAATGTTTTATTTATTTCTAGGAGAGAGAGAGAGACAGCGTGAGCAGGGGAGGGTCAGAGAGAGAGGGAGTCACAGATTGAAACAGGCTCCAGGCTCTGAGCCGGCAGTCAGCACAGAGCCCGACGCGGGGCTCGAACCCACGAACCGTGAGATCATGACCTAAGTGAAAGTTGGACGCTTAACTGACTAAGCCACCCAGGCGCCCCCCTAAAAGCAGTTTAAAAACAAAATGTGGCAGAGCTGTCCGCCTCGCTGTCAGTCAGATGAGCTAGTATGTTCCACAAAAGCCACGTATTTATTCAATAATTAACGAGCACTAAGTTTTGTGCCAGGTGCTGTCCTAAGTACTTTATAGGCAATAACTCATTTAATCTTTATAACAACCTATGAAGTATGTAAACTGTTTTGCTTCCATTTTACAGATGAGGAAACTGAGGCACAGAGAGGCTGTGACATGCTTGCTGACAACGCTAGTAAGGAGTGCAGCCAGAATGTGAACCCAGAGTACCTGGCTCTCCAGCTTTTAATCGCATATGCTGTGTTGCCACTCAAAACTGATAAGTGGCAGGGGTGGGGGGCGCCTGGGGGGCTCAATTGGTTAAGCGTCCAACTCTTGATTTAGTCTCAGGTCGTGATCTCACGGTTGTGAGATCAAGCCCTGCATTGGGAATCTGTGCTGACAGTGTGGAGCCTGCTTGGGATTCCCTCTGTCTCTCCTGCTCACACGGCCAATCTCTCTCTCTCTCTCTCTCTCTCTCTCTCAAAAAGATAAATAGATGTGTTGGAACTAAAACTTGTGACTTCTACTCCTGCTTTTCTTGAGTAATAAAACCTAATTATGTGCCATGTCTAATCAATATACTAACGAGAGATATAAAATGTGTAAACTGCATGGCTCTCATCTTTGGGAAATTAACCAGACCAGCAATAAATACTCCAAATATCTTTATTTGGAGGATGATTCTAAATCTCTCTTTGTCTCTTTATTTCTTTTGGTTTTCCTCCTTTCCCCCTCCCTTCCTCCCTCCCTCTCTCTCTCTGCCTTTCTTTCTTCCTTTCTGCTTTTCTTTCTTTTTCTTTCTTTTCTTTCTTTCTTTTTCTCTTTCTTTCTTTCTTTTTCTTTCTTTCTTTCTTTCTTTTTCTTTCTTTCTTTTTCTTTCTTTCTTTCTTTCTTTCTTTTCCTTTCTTTCCTTCCTTCTTTCTTTCTTTCCTTCTTTCCTTCCTTTCTTTCCTTCCTTCCTTCTTTCTTTCTTTCCTTCTTTCCTTCCTTTCTTTCCTTCCTTCCTTCCTTCCTTCCTTCCTTCCTTCTTTCTTTCTTTCTCTCTCTCTGTCTCTGTCTCTCTCTCTCTGAAGCAGTACTTTTAATATTTGCCAACTTCTGTTCTACATTTTATATTGAGTTAAAACAGTAGGTGGAGGGGAGGATGCCTGGATGGCTCAGTTGGTTAAGCATCCGACTCTTGATTTTAGCTCAGGTCTTGATCTCATGCTTCATGGGATCCAGCCGGTGTCGGGCTCCGAGCTGACATCAAGGAGCCTGCATGGGATTCTCTCTCTCCCTCTCTCTCTCTCTGCTCCTCCCCTGAGCACACATGTGCGCTCTCTCTCTCAAAATAAATAAATAAACTTAAGAAAAAAAGCCCAGTAGATAAGGTCACAAATACAACTTGCATTTCCAGTTATAAAATACCATGAAGACTTTAAAATTGGATTTAGATTCCATTCTTTTTGCCCTCTGCCTATGTTTAGCCCTAAGATTGTTTAATAATCCTAAGAAACATCAACTTTTTATCTCAAGTCAAATCCACAACTCTAGCTCCGATCACCTGCTCAGACCTCTGAAACGGAGGAGCAAACACACTGGCCATTAACTGAAATGCTGCTTCTTTCCAGGCATGTTTGTGGAGTGTGGGGAGGGTGGCATTTCCTCAGCAGAGAAAGGACAGCAAGTTGCCATTCATTTCCTTGCTTCTTTGAGCACCATGGGACCCACACTCGTCTGGCACAGACAGCTAGTCCTACAGGAATTCAGCACCACTCCCCGAGTCTTCCATAAACATCGTCAACCTTGTGCAAGGTGGCTGCCGTGGAAGTTGTCCTCTGGAGTTGTTTTCGATACTTCTTTCAGCCTTGTTGAAAGCACTTTTTCCATTAGGCATTTCTGTGACTTCTAAGTAAATAATAATACGTGTCAGATCCGGCCTTTTTATACCCATTAGAGCTGTCACATAATGTCTAAATGTACTTATCACGTAATCTGTATCTATTTACCATCTTTCAGATGAGATTTCTTTCTGCTCTATGCACTAACTTACCATCTAGACCGAGAGGGACTTATGATGCTTTTCAATAGAACATCTGTTAACCAGAGACCCTATGGGGTCAAAACTCTGCACAATTGCCCCTAAAATGTCCTATAACCAAAAATCACCAGAAATGCAATTGAGGTCTTTACATTTTTTTAATGTTTATTTATTTTTGAGAGAGAGAGAGAACAGGTGGGAAAGGGGCAGAGAGAGAGGGAGATGCAGAATCTAAAACAGCTCCAGGCTCTGAGCTGTCAGCACAGAGCCCCACGCGGGGCTCGAAGCCACAAATCTTGAGATCACAACCTGAGCAAAAGTTGGGCACTCAGCCGACTGAGCCACCAGGCGCCCCGCAATTCAAGTCTTTACTAAAGAATGTCGAGAGGATCCAATAAACAATCATAGAGTCTCTTTTTCAGTCTCTGTGGCTCAGTCTCCCCACCTCCCCCCAAAACCCCGCAGCTCTTCAGACTTCCCTCCCCGCCCTTGTGCTGTGTCGCAGACCCAAGCATTTGTCTTCCTCAATGATTCAAAGACACTACTTCTTCAGCTTCACCGCTCTTTCTCCCCATTACGTGCATCAGTGGACCCTCAGGTCAGAGCACAGAGTGGCTTCCTGCACACTCCCTGTGGGGAAAGGAAGGAGGGAAGTGTGTTCTCCTAAATTAATTATTTTTACCCTGCTATTCAGAGAGCGTGGGTGTGTCACATAGGGGCAATTTGGGAATGCTTTTTTGGTTTCAAGAACTAGCCATATTTTTAAACAGAACACCTTGAGATGAAAGAAATGCCGTGGGAACATCAGGGGCTGCAGGAAAGGCCTCTGAGGAAAGGAAGGGCTCGCAGAATATTCCAGGCTTGAGGCCCCACACCCACAAGGCTCCCAGCGCTCAGTGTAGCACTCTGTTGTTTCCGTCTCCAATATCTTCATCATTTTTGAACAAGGAACACCTCATTTTCAGCTTGAACCAGGCCCTGCAAATTGGAGAAATTGGTTCTAAATGGTTAGGAAGCTTCCACCCGTATGAAGAAGGGTTTCCCCTTTTACGAGACAACTGTGGCCATTTTGATCCAACCTTTTCCACCAAGAGCTTAGCTCACATCTGCTGTAGGACCCTCAGTGTCCCCAGATCACCATCTGCAGGTCTAAGTGCCTCTCCCCTGTCCATGCTAAACGTTTCTGATGGCGATGTGAACTTTCCTCCTCCTGAGCTTTGTGGCGTATGAGAACAGCTCACCAAGTGAAGGAAATGCGGGAGCCTCCTGTTTGGATAAAGCGAAATGTTACTTCCAAGCGTGGGGCTCTCTCTACAAAGGATAGTTTTGACAGAGTGGTGCCAGCGCGGTACGTGAAGGGTCGAGTGGAAAGGGCCCTCCGGGTTGAGACAGACCTGCGTTCTTAAGGCTGCCGCACATCTGTGTGGGTTGTGCACTGCACAGCTCCAGGGACAGTATCAGCCTGCACTGAAGGGCGCCCCGGGGCAGTAGCCACTAATGCTGTGTGATCATGAGCAAGTTGTTGAATGTCTCTGAGTGTCAGCTTTCTCACCCAGAAGATGCAGGAGGTGCTAACAACCACTCAGGCAATTTAAAAGAGATGAAGTGAAATTACCTGGTGACTAGTCAGGTGTCAAATGCCTGCTTGTGTCAATGAATACACACTCGTTGGAAAATGCTAGCCCACTCACTACCCTCCTGGGGGCTCTCGTCAGGTGCTCTGAGGAGGAGTATTTGCCCAATTTCAAAATACCTCCCACCAGGAGATTCATTTGCATTTAATCAAGGCCTCTTTCTTGGAGTCCTTATGAAAAGGGCAGAAAGAAAGAGAAAAGAGAGATGGCACTGGTGTGGGCTCAAGCAATCAATCCTCTCTTGGTTGGGGCTCTGGTTACCTTGCAATCCACCAGGATTAGTGGTTCCCGACTTGGGCTGCCCTCCCCAGGGACACTGGCAATGTCTGTGGACATTTTTGATTGCTGTGACTCGGGGGAGCAGTGCTCGCGGCACCCGGTGGGTTGAGGCCAGGGGTGCTGATGCTACGATGAGCAGGAGGGTCCCCACAACAAGGTGTCCTGTGTGTGAGAAACCTGCACCGGCCCAAGGGCCAATGCCCAGCCTTCTACCAACCGGGGAGCCCAGCCATCTACAAGCCCTGAGGGCCACTAACGAAACTCCCAGAAAGTCAGAGGAGCCCCAGAACAAATGTTGATGTCAGGGATTTTTGTTTTTCAGATTCACGCGGCATGTAAGGATGACAGAGTCGGGAGGGCCCCCGAGGCGCACCCTTTGTTTTCTATCTACGTTGCTTTCCCAGAAGGTTCCTGAGAAGTCAGACGCTGTGCTCCGCTGCATAATATCTGGTAACCATCAGTGGCTCATTCTCCTCCAAAATCTCCCCGCGGACCAGAGTTTTTGACTCACAAAGGCATTATTAAAAATCATTTGTGAAAATGGCCTGGGAAGTCTGTCCTGAGTAACCCGTTGAACAACTAAATCCTCTATGTTTTTTGTTTGTTTGTTTTTGTTTTTATTTCCTTGAAGGATTTCTTCGAATGACTTCCTGGATATAGTTTAGTGATCTTTTCCACTTCACATTGTGATTTTGGGTTAGGCGACTCCCACACTGGTTATTTTTTCAGATAATCCACTCTTAATTTCCTGGGCACTCAGGAATGTCACAAATAACTTTCCTTCGTCTGATTTATTGAAATCTTCTTCCATCACTCTTTCCTTGATATCCCCCAAACCAGCTACCTGCATCTCCCACCCCCCGCTGTCATTGGGGATGCTAGTCAGCAGTTCAGAGGTAAAAAAAACCAAGGCAGAGGGTGCCCAATGGCGAAGGAGCAGGGGACTGGCATTCCCCCTGGGCTGGAGAATAAAATAACCCAGCCCTGACCCCATATTGGTGCCCCTCGTGGTAGGAAGGATTTATTATTGAACGAAAATAATAGAAGCAAAATAATTAGGTCAGGACGTGGTACCTTGTACCTTGTGGATTGTTCCCTTTCTTGGATTATGTCTCTACCTTCAGAAACATAGAGGCACCAGTGGTCTCTCCTGAGGGCACACAGGGAACTTCTACCCTGAGATCCTTTTTTCTAGAGAGGAAGAGAGAAAGAGCCAGCTTCTAAAATGGCCATGCTTCCTTAGCTGAAGTCGTAACAAAGTCTCATCTCTGGTCTGGGTGCTGGGATGTCTACCTGTGCGTTCAGCCCCTTCAAGGCCAGAGCCAAGCCCCCCGTCTTTCTTGACATTTGTCCATAGTCATTCACATAAAGGGACAGGCACACGTCCACCACTGAGCCTCCATACTACGGCCCCCAAGTCTCCTCAGGAAGCCCCAAAGTTTGAACCTACCCTAAACTTGGCTACCGGTCTCCACACACAATTGTGAAACATTCTGGAGGTGGCTCTCCATATGTGACCTGCAGGTAGGCTTAAAAAACAAGGGTAGGATTTTTTGGGTGAGGTTTCCAGCAAGTGGAGGGAGAAAAGAGAACCACCCACAAAGGTACTACCACTTCCCTGTGCGAGTCTCGTTTCTGGCTGATTATTCAGATCTATACTGCACAAAAGGAAAAAACCAGTCAACCGTTAAGAAACTGGGGGCATCAACCAGCCCTGATCAGTCTGAATTAAAAAAATCAGAGTCCAAGAGATTAGAATGAGGGCCCCAGGCCCAGCTCATGCATATTTTATATATCGTCTTTAAAAAAAAAAAAAAAAAGAGTCAAGGACACACAAAGAAAGAAGCAATTAGATGCTTTTTTTTTTAAATTTATTTCTAGGAGAGAGAGAGAGAGACAGCGTGAGCAGGGGAGGGTCAGAGAGAGAGAGGGAGACACAGACTGAAATAGCCACCAGGCTTTGAGCTGGCGGTCAGCACAGAGCCCGACGCGGGGCCCGAACCCACGAACCGCGAGATCATGACCTAAGCGAAAGTCGGACGCTTAACCGACTAAGCCACCCAGGCGCCCCGCAATTAGATGCTTCTTGAGAAGGAATCTAAGACTGACTGAAAGGGGGACAAAGGCTGATAAGAACAGGCAGAAATGAATTATGATCAGAAACCTCCTTGATGGTTTTTCAGGGAGGCTCATTTTTGGTGCTTTAGTCACTTGCCTGGAAGGGACTCAGCCAAACCACGGGTGAAGAAGGGTGTATCCTTGCACGCAAGTCTGTCTCCTCCTAGTTCCAGGGACAAGTAGCCAGGCAGGCGCCTCCCTGAAGGGGGAGGCCAGGAGGAACACCAAGCACATTCATGGTGTTGGCGCAGAGGTAGCCTAACTGGGAGACCCCAAACCAGACAAGACATAGAAAGGGACGCAGGGGCTCTGAGCACCCTAAGGTCCTGTCCATGGTGCAGGGCCCAGAGCATGTGGAGTTCTTCTCTTAGTGGTATCTCAGGCTGCTCACCAAAAATCCTATGGTAAGTTGGAAACACCAGAAGGATGGATCTAGAACAGTGTTCCGTTTCCCAATACTGGGCTTTCCTCCTATATACAGGGCACATTTTGATACCTTTTCAATGATACAGAGGTTAGGGGGAAAGCTCATTGGGACACATTGGAAACCTTCCTTCGCTGATCACAAGGGGTAGAAAATCCCAAGGGGTGAGGAGAATTTCTGGGGGGTTCACCAGATGAGTCCATGACTTCCGGTTAATGATCACACGGGTGGGCGGAACCTCTTCTGAGGGAGAAAGCCAGGGCAGTATCTGTGACGACATCAGTCAGGTGTGCACAGGACAGCCTGGAAATCACGCACGCCATTCATCCTCCCGAGGAGATGGCACTTGCTAATCCACTTCGTTCTTCCCTCTTCTGTGCCATTGCGTACGTTCAACTCCGAGCAGTGTTTCAGGACAATTCTCCAAAGGTAACGTGACTTCCAGGCAAATATGAAACGGACATTTCAGTGGTTTTATTCAATTCTTTGAGTAAAGAGGGAACCAGAAAGTAGGAACATTTGAGGAATTAGGTATTTATAGTCAGTTTAATAAGAGAATATTAGGATAAGATTGCTGGACTAGGTAAAACTCTGGTTAATGTCCTGTAGGGCCATAAACCATGACTTATGGAGGGATCTTTTCTGCTGGGCAGAGATTATTTACAGCTCTGTTGGATAAAAATCTACAAGTTTACATGTAACGTCACTAGATCTAGAAGTTTAAACATTTTTTTAAGTTTTTTATTTATTTTGAGAGAGACAGAGACAGCATGAGCAGGGGAAGGGCAGAGAGAGAGGGGGAGAAAGAGAGAACCCCAAGCAGTCTCCATGCTGCCGGTGCAGAGCCTGACACAGGGCTCGAACTCACGAAACCATGAGATCATGACTTGAACTGAAACCAAGAGTCAGATGCTTAACCAACTGAGCCACCCAGGTGCCCCAATCTTGGAATTTCAAAAAGTAGTAATCATCAAATTAAACATAGTACATTCCCCTGGGTAATTCTTAGATGGATCTTTTCCCCCATGTGACATTGAAAGAAGATATTACCTGCATTTTTGCCTCTTATACAAGTTTTAGATAGTTTTTCTTTTTAAAAAATATTTATTTACTTGGAGAGGGAGAGGGAGAGAGAGAACGTGGGTGGGGCAAATAGAGAGGGAGAGAGGGAATCCCAAGCAGGTTCCATGCTGTTAGCACAGAGCCCGACTCGGGGCTTGAGCTCACAGACCGTAAGATCATGACCTGAACTGAAATTGAAGAATCAGACACGTAACTGACTGAGCTACCCGGGCGCCCCTAGATAATTTTTCTTAATAACTCTTTCAGATTAGGGAACAGCATTTCATTTCACCTGTAGCATTTCATCTGCACCCCTGGACAGCGTCATCTTAGGTATAGAGCATGCTATATAGTGCTTAATGAATGATACATTTGAATTTGAATTTGAATTTAATTTGAATCAACTAAAGGGAGATTTTCCAGTTCCCCAACTGACATAGGTCAGCATGTTCATCCCTATTACTTATTACCCGTTCTTGTTCATAGCTTTATGATTTTTTCTAATAATATTTAATGCAATAAAAATATTCTTATTTTTTCATTATCAGGTCATCCCAAGCCAGAAGTAACTTGGTATAAGAATGGCCAAGCTATAGATGAGTGTGGCATTATTTCCAGTTATGAATTCTTCCAGAATCAGTATATTCATGTGTTGCATCTCTGTGGGTAAGTAGATGCGTCCCTGTGGACTGTTTACAAAGGTCCCTGTGTTCTGTCACGTGCTGGTTGCTACCAGGTAATGTCAAAAGCTTGTTTCCTCTTTGCTTTTTTGCATCTTAATGTTAGATGCTATGAGCAGGGATCAGCTGAGGTGTCTGCAGCAACACTGAAACAATCTAATCCTTGAGAAAAAAAATGAATGAAAATCTATTCTCCCACTGAGAAATTCTCTCCCACTGAGCTCCTCTAATTTGCTGCTTTGATGGAATTATAGCTTCATCTAAAATTTTATTTGAGGTGATCCAGCCATTTTCATTCTTTAAAAGAGCTTTTCGTTTAATCTTATTCTTTCTGGAAAGTCAAGAAATACAACGTGGTTTTGGCACTGTCATTCAACCTTTCTTGTGTAACAGTGGAAGGAAGGAGAAGTGGCTGACCATGAACCCATAGCACATTGGCAATGGCCGGAAGGCTGAAAACCATGCCTTCGGGCTTTATTTTAGGAAGTAGTATGGGCTAGCACAGTAGTTTCTATTCTTATTCCTTTCCCCAAGAACTATTCAGATGAAATCAGGAAGCTCCATGTGTAAAGTAGAGAAAATGAGAACTGCTTTGGTTGAAGGTGGGTGGAAAGTCTGTGCTCTTGGTCCCCAGTTGTTACTGAATTGGTCACGGCGTTCCTCATGGGGACTCTGAGGAGGCCAAGGTCCGCAGCGTGTGGTACAAGCTTGACTGGTAGGTGTGCGCATGTGCCCGTAGCCTTGGATCTGAGAATAACAAAGTAAGACTTGGGTTTGAATTCTGACTCTACTTCTGGCTGTGTGACCATAGCCAGTTATTTTACCTCTCCAAAACTGAATTTGTTGATCTGCAAAATAAAAGGATTGCTGAGAGAATTCAATGATTTTATGCTTGTCGAGTTCTTGCTGTGTAGTAGTTATTCAATAAATTCTAGCTTTCTTCTCTTTTTATCCACTCTTTTGTTTCAAAGTATGTTCCGAGATCATTTTATCATGGTTGAAAGGCTTGACTCAACTATCTTACAGAATAGCTAACCTGATGTTACTCATGTATTCATCTACCATTTAATTCTTTAAACAATATTCACCAAGCAACTACATGTGGCAGCCATGTTGCATAATGCTGTGGGTAGAGATGAACAATATAAACATTGGCTATGCCCTTATCAAATCTCAAGTCCAGTTTCAATGTTGCCAAGGCCTTCTCCTCCCTCCTCTTCATCCTGTTCCACTTAGAATCCATCTCTATGGTTCATAGTAATTCTAGTTACCCATGGCTCTATCCAGCCTCAGACATTCTCTTCTCTTTTGCATAGCCCCCCCACCCCACTCCTTTGGTGTTTACTTATTGCTCAGGATTGACAGATAGTTCAGTAGATTTGGGCCTTCTGGGGGCAGGAACCTTCTCTGTCTCACACTAATGCATCCCCTAGGGCATCGTACAGTACAACATAAATATTTGCTAAGAGGATGGGTGGGTAGATGTTTTATATATACCATAAATATATATGATGTTAATTTAGGTCAGCATTGGCAAACTTTTCCTAATTTGTTTTTTTTTAATGTTTATTTCGTTTTGAGGGAGAGAGAGACAGTGTGTGAGTGGGGAATGGGCAGAGAGAGAATCTGAATCTGAAGCAGGCTCCAGGCTCTGAGCTGTCAGCACAGAGCCCGATATGGGGCTCCAACTCACAAGCAGTGAGATCATAACCTGAGCCGAAGTTGGATGCTTAACTGAGCCACTCAGGCACCCTGGCAAACTTTATCTATCAAGGGCCAGGTAGTAAATATTGCAAGCTTTGAAGGTCAGATGGTTTCTCTCACAGCTACTCAACTCTGCCATCATAGTATAAAAACAGCCAGAGACAATATGGGTTTTGTTTTGTTTTGTTTTGGGCATGGCTGTGTTCTAATAAAACTTTAATTACAGGACCGGGTAGGGGGCCAGATTTGGTCTGTGGGGCATAGTTTGCCAATCCCTGGTCTCAATGGTAAGATCCTTGAGTATCTACATGCTACATACTGCTTTGTATGTTTTCCACTCTTGCCTTTGTTCCCCTGAACATTCAATTCCATATTTCTTGATTGATTAACTTTAGTCTCACGCTAAGCTAAAATACTCACTTTTTTAGCCAGAAGAGAGCTTAATGAGTATTCTTTTACTGATGGAATGCCACTTAAGAATTGTGGTTTGTTATTTGCTGCTTATACAGGACCAGGAATGTAGAGAAAACCAGTGTTTGTAAGGCAAGGGAGTTAAGGGATGGAGGGATGAGAAGGCCAAGATGAAGCCCAGGGGCATGTGGGCAGGTTAAAATGGGAAGAGAAATTTAGGAAGAGAACTTGAGCTGTGGACGGCGCAGGGAGTCCTCATTCTCTTCGCAGAAGTCCAGCGGGGCACTGGTTTGCCGGAACAAATCAAGACTTGATATGCCAGAATGCACTCTTTCCAAACTCCTATTCTGCCATTTTGAAAAGTAACCCACCAACTGGGAAAAGCATTCAGTCCCGGTGAAAGAAATTTTAGTGGGGCCATACGCTAACAGATATGGTTGCATTTTCCTGCTTAGCAGTAAATGCGCTAAGTACTAATGATCTTTGAATGTTCTAACTTCTTACATCAGTAGTTCGGAACCAAAGCTGCTATTAGCATCCCCCAGGGAACGTTTAAAACCCCCTAATGCCTGGCCTTGGACTTTGATTAATGCAGTTTGGACCCCAGGTGATTCCAATGTAATTGCCCAAGATGAAAAATTCTTTACATCCTAGAACTTTCATCTGCAAAGCAGTTTGACTTCTATCAGTATGTTAAATGCTGGTTAGGATAATGAAGGTTATTTTGTGCAAATGCCTTTCAAAGATTTAAAGTTGGTTGTTAGTCATAATACTGGTCTCAAATTTTCTTGCCATTTTCAGGTCACCATAAACCACCAGATTAATTCATAGTTCCCCAAAGAAAAGTACTTTTTAAACATCTACCTGAGTTTAGTCTTTGGGTTATTAAATCTGAACTCGTAGGTACTGAAAACTCCTGTTCCCATATTTCCCACATTGTTTTGTTTTGTTATTTTTCCTGGGATGGTAAACCTGATCTGCATTTCTGCTTCATGGCCACAAGTTCATTAATTGGTCTACTGATCTCCTCTCTTTCCTCAACTGGGCAAGAGTGCGACCCAGCCCTCCCGCATTCTCCTCCTCACATCCCCTTAATCTCATAACACCGTGTACTTTGGACAAGTGAGAACACTTGGAGGAGATTGGTCAGTGCCGTCGCGACCTTTACATACCACAGGTCAAGAGTGTTTGGCAGGCAGAGGGATGGAAAGCCAGGAAGGCATTCCAGGGGAGAGAGACATCCATAACAGCGTGATTAGCACTGTAGCATGATAACTTTTTTTTCCCCCCAAAAGACACGGGGGTGGGGAGGAGGGGAGGAAAATGCAAATAGATTTTTCCACCTCATAGAAAGCAAGTTGCGAAGAACGCGTAGACAAAAGAGGAATTGTGGGCTCTTAGGAACGCTGTTTAAAGGAAGGCAGGTGGACGATGGATAAGAATCTGTCCAGGAGCCCACACCTAGAGCGAGACACTCCTCTCCACAGCGAGGAGGCCTGTTGGTCATGCCCGACTGTGCTGAGAAAGCACACGTTGCCAGAGAGGCAGGAGGGAGGTGGGTGGACTGGGCAGGAAGGTGTGGATCAGAGGGAGGGCAAGGCTGCCTTCTGCAGCTCAGCCCTACAGACGACCTCGTGGCGGGGACGATGGCCAGGAGAGCTGCACAGTCACCACGAGCCAATCAGCTCATGATGTGTCCCTCCCCAACCCCCCCAAGTTCATGTTCACCTGGAACATCAGAATGTGACCTTATTTGGAAATAAGATATTTTCAGCTGTAGTCATTTGAATTAAGGTGAGATCACCGTGGATTAATGGGGGTTTTAGCTCCATGACTTGTGTTCTTATAAAAAGGAGAAAACAGACACAGAGAGGAAATAGCCACGTGAAGACAGGCAGAGACCGCAGTGATTCAGCTGCAAGCCAGGAAATGTGAGGACGGCCCGCTGTCACCAGAAGCTAGGAAGGGGCCAGGAGAGTCTTCCTCAGAGCCTTCAGAGGGAGCACGGCCTTGGCCACACCTTGATTTTGACCTCTAGGCTCCAGGACTGTGAAACAATAAATTTTCATTGTTTTTTGTTTTTTTTTTGCGACCCTCTCTGTGGTGATATGTCATTATGGCAGCTCTAGGAAGCTGATACATGGTGTATCTGAGCATTCTTAAACAAAAAAAGTCCAAGGGGCGCCTGGGTGGCTCAGTTGGTTAAGCGTCCAACTTCAGCTCAGGTCATGGTCTCATGATTGATGAGTTCGAGCCCTGTGTCAGGCTCTGCACTGACAGATTGGAGCCTGGAGCCTACTTCAGATTCTGTCTCTCTTTTTCTCTCTCTCTCTCTCTCTCTCTCTTTCTGCCCCTCCCCCACTCATGCTCTGTCTCTCTCCATCTCTCAAAAATGAATAAATGTTAAAAAGATTAAAAAAAAGAAAGCGCTGCCGTTTGGCTCCCTTGACTTCTCTGGTAATGTTGCACTGGCTCCCAAAATGGCGGCCGAGTTCACCTGGGCCGCCTGGGAGGCGTCTGTGGGTCAAGGACCAAGGAACGTTTTTCCAATTATGCCTCTAGCTGGATACTAATCATCCAGGATTTTGAAGGAGAAATCAACATGAAGGTTTGGGTCACCAAACCTGGGTCACCTGTGTTTTGCCCCCCAGGGGACATTTGGCAATGCCTGGAGATGTTGTCGATTGTCACAGCTGGAAGGGATGCTACTGAGTGAGGAGAGGCTAAGGATGCTGCTAAACCCCGCCCCCAACAAGGAACTTGGCCCCTCTCCCACTGTGTTTCTCCAGGCCTACTGGTCACTTCCCTGCAGGGGACAGCACAGCACTCAGATGCCAGGGTGACAAAGCCCTGACCCCTGAAACGGC